AAAAAGTAAAGCAAACTTAAAAGATATACAAAGCCGTGTGAGAAAGAAATTATGATTCGAACGATAGTTTTTTTTACTTTAAAAAAAAAAAACAAAAAAAAAAAACAACTTTTCATCAGCGAAGTCTCAGTTGTTTCTCTCTTTCTCTTTCTCTTCCACTAAGCATCATTATATTTTGTTTTAGTTTTTCTTTACAACAATAAGATCAATCAGCTCGACTACGGAATGCCATGCTTTTCATACAACACGTATATATGTACATATATATATATGCTCATACACCCCTCTCTTTGTCATTCATTCATCATCTTACATGTCCACTATCATCAATTTGCTCTCTTGCACTTTCCTTTCACACTTCTTTTCACTTTTTTTGTATTATTATTATTATTATTATTATTATTATCATTATTTATTTTTAATTTTTATATCCAATAACATCTATTCCTCGCATTAGTATTTTCTCATTTCTTTTATCCCCCTCCCCATCCCATTCGCCTATTTATTTCATTTCATTATATTTACTTATTTAATTATTTATTTTTTAGTTGTTGTTCAATATTATATCTTTTCTATTTTCGTCCTTTTTTTCATAGATAAAGAACTAAATCGATTTATTTTTTCTTCTTTTTTTGCGGCGGCAGTTCTACGAAATGTTTCTTGCGACGCAATGATATGTGAATGTAATGTGTGTGTGTGTATGTTTTTTTTTTTTTTTTAGAAAATGCAACGTTAGAGATGTATTCTTTTTTTGTTTTATTTATTCGTGCAATATTGCGAATAGAAATACTACACATAACACGAACGAGAATGATGATAGTGTGAAACTTATGATTGACATTATCGATTCGCACTTTTTAATCAAATATTAAGCAGAATAATATGAAATGTTATTAGATAACGACGCGGAGAAGTGATAAGAAACAGAACTTTATGCATTTTCATTAGATTCTCATTATAACATTGAGAAAATGTTCGTTTTATATTTCTTTCTCTCTCTCTCTCTCTCTTTCCCATTCATTTTTTTTGTTTGTCAATTTTTCCTTATTATCTCTTCTATTCTTTCTATTTTCGTCTCTTTCGTATTCTTCTTCTTCTGCTTCTTCTTCGTATTTTTTAATCACCTCCGGCGAATTGATGGAAAACAAACGTAAGATATATGTTTGCGTATAGATATTTTATAAGTACGTACACGAAATGGGTTTGAAAGAAATATTATTACTCGTCAATAAATTTATTATGTCTATATAAAAATTAAAATCCTTCTTTGCGTGTTAGTTCAATTAAAATTATTGTTAAAATGATGTTTAACATTTTTTTAATGAATCCAAAGTGCGTGTAAAAAAAAATAAAGACTGAAAATAAATCTGATTATTAATTAACACTAGAACTGTTATTAGGCTGCTAATCATTTTGATTGGTTTACAAAAGGTTTACTTTTTAATAAATTACTCAAATTTATTATTTAACGTTTCAGAAATGTTTTATTACTTTAATTGCGATATTATCCTTTCTTTTTTTTCAAAATTAATATAATAATGGAATATACTTAAACAAATTATATTGACTGATCTCGTAGAAATTATAACAGAAATGAATTACCAATAATTCTAGTGTTAAAATAATCATGAGAACAGTTAACGAAGAAGACATTAATTATTAAATCATAAAAATAAAATATGTAACAAGCGATTTCGTATCGTCGAGCCATGATCGATAGGCATAATATATTTTTATATGGCTTTTATTTACTGCCACTTTTTGAGCAAATTCTCAAGTTTTTGCAATAGCAGTGAAAAGCCACGTTCGGTAATCTCAAAGCTTTTGGTTTAGTTTGATATTTTTCCATTTATTTCTTTATTTTTCTTTTTTCCTTTTTATAAAAAAAAAGCTGTTCGATATTATTAATATTATTAATAAAAGTAATATACATACATACATAGATACATACATATGTTGTATTCGTATGTATATAGAGTAACAGTATTGAATATGAGACATGTGCTTTATGAGACTCAATAGTGTTTCCAAAAAATAGTTGCAATAACTGCACCAATAATTAAAAATATTTAAATAAATAACAGGGATCCTTCGCATGAGATTCCAATTCAAATGGAAAGGATTATTTCATTAAGACGACATTAAATTTCATTGTATTTTTAGACAACAGCAAGTTTTTATAGTCATTTGTAAAAAAAAGAGATTTTCATAGGGTTATTATTTTAATTGAACCTTCTTCGGCTCCAAGTTTTAATATGTTAGTAACTAATTCGAAATTAAACAAGTTAAGTGCTAGAATAGTTTCCTGAATATTTTTCGATTATTTCGTTATTTAAAAAATAAAAAAGAAGACTTGCTGTATATTTAAATTTTAAATAATAATTTCTACTTTTTATTTTCATTTTAAGTAGAGTCTTATATAAAGTGCTGTTTTTCAAATTTCATTAATTTCGCATTAATTTTAAACTTTCATTTTTTATTTTATCCTCGTAATAAATTATTCTCATTAAGTAAGTTAAAAGTAATATTCTGCATTCAATATAATTTCTTCTCTTCATTTTGTTTTATCAATAATGATAATGATAATAATAATAATATTAATAATAATAATAACAGTAATGATGATAATAATAATAAATATTATTTAAGTATTATCTAAAAATCGTTTTATTTATTATTTAAACCAATACCAAATTGACAGTTATCTGCAGTCAACAGTAAAATATATATATATATAATATAAATTTAGTTAAAGACCGTTTTACAGTATAAATAAGTATACATAAACTGTCAGTTGATTTACTATCAATCAAACATAAATAGCGTCTTCTCATATTCGATTGCCGTTACCCTATGTGTATATGTATATCACTTTAAAAGAAAAGAAAGAAAAAGGAAAAAACCGTCATCGAAACAACGACAGGGACACACGTTTTGAAACATACGTCAAAATCAAAGTGCTATACACTACACCTTCTAATAGAATAAACAACTTCAATTACGTGTTTTCTTCCTTATACAACGATATATACATATACCTATACATATCATTAATTATTTTACTGAACACAATAAGATTAAAATAAAAAAAAGAAAGAAAAAGAAATACATTAGTCTACAAATTTCTTCATATACAAGAATTGTTTCTTTTCACGAACCTGGCGGAGGAATCGTTCAAATTTCTCTTTTCATTTTTCCTTTCCTTACACCATTCCAAAATTTAATAATAATAATAATAATAATAATAATAAATTTAGCAATAATAATAACGTTTACGCGCGTATATTTTTTTTATTCAAAATGTAAGATTTATAGTTTTTAATCTCGACGTATGCAATATAACCGACCGTCTTCTTGTTTCTTCTTCCTTCTCAAATGTTTATATTTGTTCGTCACTGTTTTTTATCTTCGTAATAACAATTACCATTTCACCCCACATTCCTATCTCCACCGACCACCCTCTCCTTATCTCGCAAAGCTGTTTTTTTACTAGAATCTTTTTAAAAGAGATACAGTAACTAAGTGACGACGCAAGCTACATTTAAGCGCGTGTGTGTTTGTGTTAATTGTAAAATTGTTACGATATAATAATAATATTAGATCCTACATAATTTTTCTTCTCTTCTCTTCCTCATTTTATTATTATTATTATTATTATTATTATTATTATTATTATTATCATTATTATTATTATTATTAGGATATTGTTTTTTTTTTAAATTATTTTTTCTCCTAATCCTCATTTAAATTGTCAACTAAATTTTGTTACTTTGTAGTAATAATGTGTTGTTGCTGCTTAAGATTCGTCTCAAAAAAATTTCATGAAAATTATTCCTTGATTCACCGTATTTTCCTATATACATATACGTGTTGTGTGTGTGTGTGTATGCACGCGCGCGCGTGTAGTAATCATATTTAATGTTCAGCTTGGCAGCGCAAAGTTGAATCAATTTATTTATTTTTTAGTTTGTTTATTCGTCCGCGCATACGCACGCGCGCACGTTCATTCTCATTTTCGCTTACTCACTTATTCATTCACTCATTCTTTCATTCATTCATCCATTTCATCCATTCATTCATTCTTTCATTCATTCATTCATTTTATTTTTCTCTTTTTTTTCTTCCATTTTTTCCGTCACACACGACACAGAACTGATCGAAAAGCAATTATACTATAGCGTAAAAATTTGACACGTTCATTACACACGTTGATCTATTTGTTAGAATAGATTAATAGAATTTTGTTATAAAACGGGGACATCCTCCTCAGAAGATCTTTGTTCTCGTCAACCATAAATTAAATTTTTTGTATTATTACTTATTTCTTTTGTCCTTTTTACAAACACGTCTGCATTTTATTATTTCATTTTCAAAATTTCATATTTTATCATTATTATTTTTTTAAATCTTTTTCTTATATTTTAATTTAAATATTTTCTTGCACTATATCATATTATATAAATTGTCAGAAGCTTTTTGTTTGCGTGTGAGTTTTTTGTTAATAATAATTAATAATTAATAATAAACATAATAATAATAATAATAATAATAATAATAATAATAATAATAATAATAATAGTAATCATAATAAAAATAAAATAATAATAATGAATATATCGAAATATAAAGAAGCAAACTTGACTTTGCTGTTCAGATTATCATTTTGCTATTATATTTCTCTCTCTTCCTCTCTCTTGCGCGCGCGCTCGTTCACTCTCCTTCACCCTCTCCCTCTCCCTATCACTTTCACTCTCACTTTCACTCTTACTCTCATTCTCACTCTCACTCTCGCTCTTATTCTCTCGTACATTCACACGCACTCTCTTTCTTTCTTCTTATATAGAATTATTTTTTTCATTCTTTTATATCTTTAAAACGTTTATTTTAGATTTAGCGTTTAGGTTTGTTTTTTTTTCCTTTTCTTTTTTTTTTTTATTACGGGTCTCTGAACACCCCGTTGCGTATTTATTTTTTATTCTTTTTTTCTGTGTATGTTATTATTTTTTTTTTCTCTTTTTCTTTTTTTTTTTTGTTTCTTTTTCTAAGCCATGTTCGATTGGCTGGGATCGGTAGTTTGTGTGGTGGAGGGTGTATTGGTGTTGACGCTATTATCACTAGAGTTACCGCTAGCCCCCGCGGCGGCAGCATTCGTCGCTTCCGATTGGCCTCCGCCGGGATTGTCGGGAGACTGCATGCTGTATTTCGGTTTTAGGATCGGGTTTAAGATAGGCTGAATTCTAAGCTCGTGCTCGGTGAAATTGAATAATGGTGGTAATTCACGACCGTTTGGTAATCGTGTCCCTTCTTCTCGCAATTCGTTGAAAAACGAATGTGCGCATGCCTGTAGAGGGGTCATTCTCAGAGATGGTGTATATTCTAAAAGCCGTGCTACCAGTTCCATCGCTTCCGGTGGTGTACGCGCCCTGAAAACCTGAAACCGATAATAATATTATAATTATTAACAACACACGATTCCCTTCTCTAATTCTTCTTCTTCTTCTTCTTCTTTTAAATACTTCCACACCAATTGCCCCATATACTTGCTAATAATATTATTTATTTCTTTTATAATCGATGATGAGAACATTTTGTTTGTCTCCGTCTCCTCGTTGCTTGGTTTTCTATTACACGATTATTTATTCAATCATTCACACCTATATATATATATGTTAATATTATCCATCTGGATATGTTCTCGAGGATCGTAAAATATCACCAAAACGTTAGAGTAAGTGATATTTTCTTTTTTTGTATTTATCCTACCTACCTATTATTCTCTGTCTATCTTGATTTCTTTTTGTTTCAATTCAAATAGAAAGGAGATATAGTTTAGTAATGTTAATCGCTTATAAAAAGGTAAAAAAGGATAAACAAAATATTGAAAACGGTATAAATGTAAAATAAAATAGGTGATATAAAAGATCAAATGGTCTATCTTGTCACAATTGTTATTTCAATAAGATATATAGAAAAAATAAATAAATCAAATTAGTATGCAAAATCAATTAGTAATGCAATAAATTCTCTTCTCCGTAAATGCTAGTCCTGCATTCATGATAATATTTAAATGAAATTAAAATTTGCATCAACAATTTATTCCTATGTTGTGTATCGAACAATAAAGCAGTCCAATTTCATTTCGTATTTTTATTTTTTTTAATTATTTTTTTTTAATAACTTTTTAATAAAGCATTTAATGTTTCATGTATTGTTTAAATACCATGTTTGCCTTATTTTTAATTTGTAGAATGTGTTGGTAAAATTGCGAGGAAAAACACTGGGGCATCTTTTACACATGTATATATATATATATATAAAAATATATAAAAATGTTTAACATAGAAATGCTAGAAAAATCATAGTTATTTAATTGGTTAGTATAATGATTTGATCAGTGAAGGAATACTTGTGCAGCAGTATCTAATAATGCGTTTGAGGACTAGGACCACTTACTCTAATTTTTTGGTGCTCCGTGGAACACTTTGGTCCACTCATTCGTTGAAGCATATACTGTAACCACGAGTACAGGTATTGATGAATGATATACAATGAGAAAGGATTAACTAAATTGCCGTTATACAGGATACTTCAAAATAATTATTCCTATTTCATAGATATGATCAAGAGCATTTAATTAAACACAGTAAGATTGGAGCTTATTTGTAGTCCGTCATTTAAACTATTCATAAAAAGGTGTTTAATTATACATGCTTTCTATCAATTTTGAAAATTGGGAATAATTATTCCAAAGAACTCTGTGAGTCATCTCTCAAATATTGTTTACGCGACACAACTAAATAATGCACATACAGATATAAATAATCGTATTATTTATAGAATTTTCGCGTCGATTAGTCTCTCTACTACGTGCTAGTATGAAAGGTGTGATTTGGATTTGGACCTTTAAATAAATATATGTGTTGCACGCGACATAATATACGTACATATTAAATTATTAATATTAATATAAAACGTACCAATATATATTTTTTTGATTAAATATATTATGATATATAAAATAATTACCTTTTGCCATGGATGCGACTTTATTTGTGGAAATTTAAATTCGGTATAGTTAGGGTTCATCTCACGTATTTGATCACGCGTCGGGGTACCAAGTACTTTGATAATTTCAACAAGTTGATCTACACCGCTGTCACCGGGGAATATCGGCTGACCAAGCAAAAGCTCTGCCAGAACACAACCTGCGCTCCACACGTCTGCCGAAAATAAATTTTATTATTAATTAATTAACGTGTCATTATTTACAACAAAAATTCCAAGGTAAAAAGGAACTAACCGATCTTTGTAGTGTAGTCAATGGCACCAAAGATGAGTTCAGGCGCACGGTAATAGCGACTGCATATATAAGACACGTTAGGTTCCCCTTTGACAAGATGCTTGGCTGAACCAAAATCACAGAGCTTGAGAACACCAGTTTCAGGATCCAATAGTAAATTCTGCGGCTTAATATCCCTGTGACAAATTCCCAGGGAATGGATGTATGCCAAAGAACGGAACAGTTGGTACATGTATAGCTGGAAAATATAGAAATACGGGGTAATAAAGATACTCAAATTAATGAGCGAGCCAATCGAAAGCGTGCAACAAAAAAGAGAAATATCGTGATCAGTATCAATTGTATATTGATTAATGCATGGCTCCTTTTACCTTGATAAAACTGATTGGTATCGTCTGCTTGCTTTTGCTATAATGTCGGGCGACTTTGTACACGGTTTCGGGTATATATTCCAGGACTAGATTCAGATAAACCTCGTCCTTCTAAAAATAATTATTCTTTTATTATTACAATGTTTTTTTTTTTACACATGTGTCATTTTATTCATTATTCTTTTGTTCTGTACGATGGAGTGATGGGTCTTAATGAATGGGAAGTCTTTTATGTCGTATTCGTTTAATCTTTTTTTGTTTGGGAGGTGTGGGGTGTAAAAGAAAGAAAGAAATAAAAAAAAAAAGATGAGAAAAAAAAATAATGATGAATGAATGTGTACATGTTTATTCGTAACATTTATTGCGGTATAATATGTTACAAATATATTATATATATATTTATTTATTATACGAGAATGAGTAGAGAGATATAGTTATATCCATCAATTTTGATTCGTGTTCGATTTGTTAATTACGTACACACTTAATTACGGTTACAAATGCACGCAATCTCGAGACGTGATCATCCTCTAGGACTAGCGAAGCGGCGTTAGCTCTACTAGATTCAAAAATGAAATTATAATAAACGTGTATAACGTGATCTAAGATCATGTTTAAAAAAAAAAATAAAACAATTAATTAAATCGTACGCTTTTTTTGATAACGTTATATATATTCTTAACGGTTAATCTTTGTTATTTTTGTCATTGATATATTTTTTTTATCTTTTCTTTTTTTTTTTGTTTTTCTACGATAAAAGCGAATGGTAGCCTAAATATATATCTCGGCAAAAAGGATAAAATTTGTAAGCTACTGGGTATGCTCCAACTTACGTCCACATGAAAAACTGGATTAGTTGCGTTTAAGATGTTCTACAAAATAACATAACAACGTAGCATGCATTAACACTAAAAAGACATTTATATTGATATAAATAAAACACGATTTTTTTAATTTATTTATTTTCTTTTTTTTTTTTTTTTTTTTTTTTTTTTTTTTTTTTTTTTTTATAATATTGATTTGAAAAAAAGAAAAAAAAAGAAAGAAAGATAGAAAAGAAACGAGGAAAGAAAAAAAAAGATCTTTTTGGTCTTAACCTTTCTTTAAATGTTTAAATCGATTCTTATATAATAAAATACATGTATAAATATTCATATATATATATATGTATGTATAAAAAAAGAAATACATATATATATATAAATAGATATATATACATATGTATAATAAAATTAATAGTTACCTTATCACCACAAGAGTAGAAGAAATATTTTAGTTTGACGATGTTGCAGTGCTCGAGGCGCCGCATAATTTGTAATTCTCTGTTCTGAAAGAAAAAAAAAAAAGAAAAAATAACAAAGACGATAAGAGAATAATGATTAATTTACTATAAACATTCGTTGTTTTTGTAGAAATGATGAAAATTGAGTTAATATTTCGCAACACCGTCATATATATATAAAAAAAAAAAAGTTACGGTACTCTCATAACACTTTGGGAACCACTGGTTTATTCAAAAGAATAAATGGGACCCTGGATATATTATAAATAGATATATAGTAATGCATAACTTGAAAGTAACATGCCGTTAACGTTGAAACTCTCTAAAATTGATATTCAAGGTACATATCGCGTGACTAATCGAGACGTCAAACGTCTTCTTTTTCTTCTTCTTCATTTTGACGTCTTGACGTAAGAGAATAACGAAGAGACCAAGAAGAAAGAAGAGTAGAATAATAATTTCTCGTACGTCTTTATTTGATAAAAGTTAGAAAGTCGATTATTGGGGGGAGAACGATGATGAAGAAATGCATTCTCTTAAAACGTATCAATCGGATGTTTGTGTATCAATACGAATTGACCTATACATAAATGATGCACACAATCATGACGTCACGTAAAATTGCGCAAGATATCATCGTACGTTCGTAACGAAAATTTTAATCATTAATTAATCGGTATATACAGAAGGGGAATAATAATAATAATATTAATATTAATAAAGAAGAGAGAGAGAGAGATTAATTAGATATGTACGAATCGGGACGGAAATAAGTTTTCAAAATAACTCTTATCGTAAAAAAAAGAAAAAAGAAAAACAAGCATATGTAAACGTAAGAAGAATCCTCGTTTAATTGCAAAATTCCGAAAGGGTAAAGAAGATGATAATAATAATAATGCGTGTTTGTTGATCGTTTTCGCGAGCACAGTGAATTAAAAATATAAATGGATCGACGAGTTTTTTTAAACGATTCTTATCGAAGATAAGCCACAAATATTCGTTTATGCAAATAAGTTTTTGTTCGTTTGGAATTTCGATCAGTAATTTATATTTTAAATAATATAATTTGTCTAAAATTCAATGACACTTTTGGAGAACGTATAAAGTTACTTACACGTTGAAATTTGATTAAAAAAAAGATATAAATAACTCACCTTAAATCGTTTATCTTGTAGAACCTTTTTAATGGCAACCATTTCTCCCGTGTCGAATAGTTTCGCTTGATAGACAACCCCAAAACTGCCATTGCCAATGACTTTGGTATCGGTATAGGCTACTTCTCGGGGTAGATCTGGACCAGAGCCAGGAGTTGCCACTACTGTCGTCACCTTGCTGCCATCCTTGCCTGGATTGTACATCGTACCACCCATAGAAAAAAAAATACAAAACCACAACGCTACAGTACAATGAAAAGATGAAAAAAAAAAAAAAAAAAGAAAAAATGATTTTTTTATTTTCTTATAAGAAATTGAATAAAACAATATTCAAAAAAAAAAAAGAAAAACAAAATGGGAAATATTTGATATGCGTTATCGATGTATAATATTATAAAGCTTGTTATGTATAACAAGGCTTTTTATCTATCTTTACTTTATTGAGATATAGAAAAAAGATAGAGAGGGAGAGAGAAAAATAAAACCACAAAGTGAAGACGGAGATATCACGTGAGATTATCTTTTATGCACACATGCGAAATCAATTAAAACATCTTTCGAAGAACAAAGCGACCACCTCTTTATCGACATCGTTTTCTTCTTCTCCTCCTCCTATCCACCACATATGTGCTTCCACCTCTTTCCCCACTCCCTCTCATATATTCTTGCAACTCAACTTCTACTTAAACATTTATTCCTCCTCCTTCTCTGTTTCTTTCCTTCCTTTACGCGACCCTATTTATCTCCGTCTTCTACGAACAATATAATCATTATACATTTTTAATCTCGTATAATATTTTATATTCGTATATTATTTAATGCATACCCATTAATACAATCAAAGTATTAACTAAATAAATAAACTTAATTGAATTAAAAAGCCATTATTTTTTTTTTCGGTTCATCAATAATTCTTAGATTATTTTGTTCGTTCATTCTAAAAGTAAATATATATATATATATTCTCTCTCTTAAGTATATATATGTATATTTCATTTATAATCTCAATAACACACGTCGTGTTAAATATATATTATTACTTTTGTATATAAACGTTAAGAATAAATAACCTGAGAATGTAGACATCAGACAGGAACACCGATCAAAGATATCTCTCACAGGTTAGAATGTTTTTACAAGGTTTTTTTTCCCGAAAAAAGAAAGAAAGAAAAGAAAATAAAAAAAGAAAAAAGTTAGGTTTGCGTCTATTCTCGTGTGTTTGTCTATTTGTCTGAAGCCTCAGTCAGTACGAAGGATATTTTTCAAAAAGATTATTTCCTTATCGATACTCTTGAATTATAAAGAAGATGCCCTATGCACACGTACACCTAACTGTAATCTTTCGTACACACATATATATATATACATATGTTCAGATTTTGACAGGATAAATTAGTTCGAATGTATCCCATAATGATTAAGCATAAAAATAGGTACCTTCATCCTTCTTAATAGTTTTATTCAAACGTAAACTGCGTCGTACTTCAGACTCTTTCATCCTTCTAAATCGGGCAACAAGTTAATTTTGACTAACCGTATACGACAAATAATTGTCTATTATTTCTAGGAAATATATTATCTATCCGAATAATTGCGACAAACTTCGTTACTAACTTTTCGATCAATCGAAGGAATAACAACCAATTGGATCATACTAGAATGAAATGTATTTATTTTGGTTAGAGAACAATGTAGGCCAATAGAATTTATCGAAGAAATCGATGAACAGAGTTTATTGGTTGAGATGAGATGGCAATGGCTAATAAAAGATGTTTCTTTTTTTGGTGTTTTATAAAGAAACAACTTTTTTGTTAAAATATTTTTGCATTTTGATCTTTGTATTTTGGGATTAAGTAATGACATTAATGTGACAGATACTCCAGCAGATCGATGTTTCTTAATTTATGAACCAGGGCCTAATTTACGAGATCACAGTTTAGATAAGACGATAATTTATACAGTTTAACTGATAGATTAGGCAACGACAATGGCGAATTGCCTAAAAAGATGACATCTCCGAAATCCCGCTTATAGTAGCATACAGATAAGATATTAAAAAGATATTAATATACACGCGTATATAAAATGATAGTAGTGTTAGGTTTAATTAAGCGTGTAATAAATAACAAAGTAAAACAAGCGGTCTCATCTAATCGCTTTTATCCCTTTTATCACGTTATATTCGCATCGTGTAATCTTGCCCTTTCCTCGACCCCCCTTTTACCCTGCCTGTCTGCCCACCTAAGCTAGGGAATCTAGCCAACCTATTGGAAAATTTCACGCCGACATCATCACCTAGCCTACACCACCACCACCACCACCACAAACAGTAACATATTCTGATATAACATGCATCGCTTTACTTTCCTGACATTGAAAAAAAACTGACATATACGCAATCATCACTTGCTACGTCATTCGAAACACGATTACGTTAAATCTCATTCGATCTCGATTTTATATTCATCGGGAAAAACCCTAAAGGATTATGTACGTATATGTATATCTAACAATAAGTAATTTGATAATGTTCAATATAAAAGATACTAGTATTATAGATTTAAATCTATAATTTTAAATGATTATAGATTCCGCGATATTAATCATTTGCCACTCAAATAGAAAAAAAAAATATTTCGAACGAATATGTCGAATCGATTGTCTGATAAATATCAATCCGAATGATGTTTTAGTGATTATTCCGAATAATCTATATAGTTGCACTCTATCGGCACTTACGTCTTTTGCTTCCCAGCTGACGTAAGAATTTGCAGAATTTTTTGTAAGCCCCATTGGGTTCCTTGCCGTTCAATTCTACAGCATTTTTCGTCCTCTCGTGTCTCTGCCCGGAAGGACAAAGTTTCGGATACCTCCACTGTTGGCAAGGTTCCGACCAATCAAGCGTGCTAGCTGGAGCCATTTTCTTTTTTCCCTTTTTTTTCTCTTTTCCTCCTCCAGAGATTATCTCTTTTTATTCTCTTATTTTTATTTTTGTTTCTCTTTCGAATACGTCAATAATATTTTACTGCAGTTCTTTTGTCAAAGTATCTATTGTTTTCTTAAGTAACTTAATATTTTTTCTTTTTCTTTTGTCCTTTCTTTTCGTATTCTCCATCGAAAAAGACGGAGAACACTTCAAGATTTTATATTTCTCTCTTAAAATTATATTAGAACATTCATTCTACGAGATGTTCTTCCAAATTTTCTATAAGATTTCGATTAGAATTATTATTTTAATACGCGATCGATGTATTTTGCATTTCTTCTTTCCTACTTCTTCCTACTCTTCTTATTTCACAATTTCCTGTTTATAATAGTCACTGTCTTTTTTGTTTCTTTCGAGGAAAAAATTTGCAAGAAACTTAGTATCACACACGACAAAAGAATCCAATCTTATGTTAGAGTCAAATCCCCATCAAATATATGTGCATATGGAAAAAAAAAAATACAAAAATTCATGCACACGACACGACACACAAGGTGAACAACAGTCAGTGAGAATAAATGGAAGACACTGACACTGCACTGATAGAATACCGATGAAAATATTCACAAAATTTGGAATATATAAAAATATAAATGTATAAAAATGAAGTAAAATAATAAAGAAAATATAAATAATTGGACGTTATTTGATGCGTTTCTTGCAAGAACGAATATACGTCGCAGCCGATTCGTGTCGTCTTGACACGCGACTAAACGAATCGAACAAGTTTGCGGATCAACGTGGCTGTTGATTGGTGCCACGATAGAGGGGGGAGGGTCGCAAAGTAGGGATAACGGAAGAGGATTGGATGGTAGTAGTTGACAGTCACGGTTCATTCGAAAAAGCATCGATTCAAAGTGATTAAAATAAGTTTCATTTTCAAATAAATTTTACTCTTATTTTCCTGACTTCCTTCCTTTCTTACTTCTTTACTTATTTATTTCTTCGATTCGTTTGTTCTATTGTATTATTTGATTTGATTTTATTGACGTTTATATACGAGGAACTATAATAAAAGATATATTAGTATTATTCTTTTTTATCATGAAAGATTAGTCACGATTCTTTGATACTTTTGGCAAATGTTCAGGAATACTTGAAAATACGGATGAGTTCGAAATGTTCTCGTTGGAAAAAGTATGAGTGCGATGATAATTGGAAAAACGAAATTTGTTGGATGCGGTTAGCGGACATTTATATATATCGGGGAATGAATTTTTAGAAATGCATATTTATTTGGTTTAACACAATAAATAACGTTGCAATTCGTAATCGTTTTTAGATTGAATAATAAATGTTACTAGTAATTTAGATATTATAATAACATTGTCAAATTACTTGTTAGCTACTATTAGCTAGAAATAATTGATAATCTAAATGTAATAGAGAAGTTAACACATAATATACAGTTAGAATAATAACGAAGAAAGATGTTCAACAAGAGTAGAAATTAATCAAAACGACAGTAGTAGTGTAATTCGATAAAGATCGAGAAACTCGAAGAAACGAGCGTTCCACTTTCCGATCTACGTTTTCATCGTTGACGCCCGAGGAGAACCCATTATGATGATTATTATTGCTATTATTAGTTTAATCGTCATCCTTTCTCGTTACTTACTACTACTGCGCTTAATCCCATTTAAAGATATGACAGAAACAAGTGGGTATAAGATAGCCAGCCCCAGACAAATAGAGATTATGCCAATCAGAAATACATGCATGCAGGTATACAAAGGGAGACATTAAGTTGAATAAAAATACAGACGGATACTCAAACAATTAGAAAGAAAAACAGACAACCAGACTGATAAAGACAAATAGCTCAACACAATTACAAAATACCAAAACTTTTCAAAGAAATTGCAAAGATGCACAATTTACAGCATTCCAATCTCTGATATTTTTCTTTGAAAAGTTTTGGTAAATATTTTTTATACTAAGAGTGAATAGATTTTAATGACTATTGTTCTATCAATTTTATTTACTTTATTATAATTTATATTATTATTGTTATTATTTCTATTATTTCATGTTCATTATAATTAAAAGAAACAATATAGATTTCAATCCAAATGAAGTTTCATATATCTTAGAGACTATTAAATAGATACTTATTATTATTTATTTTTATTCAATCCTTGCAAGAGTTGTAATATTACATGTTGAGCAATCTAATGCATAAGATATATGGAACACGCGAACTAACACATACATATGTATGTACAT